TATGTTGTTGGTTTCTTACTGCTGGTGCAGATTTCCTGTCAGCACCTTCCTGCTCAACAACAGGAAGCAGGGTGCGCCTGCGCTGTTGGTCTCACTCCTAGCCTCCTACACTCTGCGGCTTTCAGAATAAAAATTCAAATCCTTTAACTAGTCCCTCCCGATCTTCTGTGATTCATACCTTGCTATCCATTCATTTTTCAAAATACACTAAGATTAATGCACTAAAAATATTAACAATTGTTTACACTTGAGCTATAAGGCCTTAACCATATGCCAGACATTGTCTGGCATGGTAAAGTATGCAAGACATAAAACTGATGGCTTCAATCATTTTTAGATGGAGCCTTCTATGCCCGGCATTGTTTTCAACCACCTCCGCTCATCTTCAGAAATGTCTGATCCTTCCATACTGAAACACTGTACCCACTCATTTATTCCCAGTTTCATTTTCTGTCCAGCTGCAAATAACCAACACTCCATTCTCCATCTCCATAAACCTAAGTACTCTAAGAATCTCACCTAAGTAGAAGCATAGAATGCCTGTCTCTTTGAGACTTGCTTATTTCACTTAGCAAAATGTTTTCCAGGTTCATCCATATTGTAACATGTGTTAATATTTTAGGAGGGATATTTCATTATATATCACATTTTGTTCGACCATTTGCCTGTCAGTAAATACTTGGATTCTTTTTTCTGCCTTGTAACTTCTACAAATAAAGTCATTCTGAACATTGGAGTCTTAATATGTCAAAATGCTAACATTCTTGGACTAGATAACCTAAAAAATATGTTTAATTTTCAATTTGGGTAATGGTGAAGTCAAAGATCAACATGTCAGATGATTCAGTCTCCATGGATGAATATATTGAAGATGGCTGCTGCCTTCTTCATATATCCCTATGTAACAGGAAATGGGGACCAGGATCAGACTCTCTGGTGTCTTTTTATAAAGACACCAATTCCATCATCAAGCCTGACAATGATTCCCATATCTAACTTCCAGATGCTATCACGTTGATAAGATTAAAATATGAATTGGGGGAAACACACAGTACATAATAACTGGTATCTGGTGGAACTAACCTTCTTGGATGTTTAAGAGCCATATTTTGAGGCCTATACTAATCTTGTCAGAGGGACTTAAAGAACAGCTTTTGCTCCTTGCCCTCCAAGTTTGACTAAGTTCCAGGGGACTATGGAGAATCTCTCAAAATGTCCTATAACTGTGGTGAGTCACCTGTCCTCTTGATCAAGGAGACTCCTCCCAAGCCCATGTGACCCCTGAGGAACAAGTCCTCAAAAGACCTTAAGAGTAAAAATTAATTGGTTTATCTGGGCCAACTGTATGGTCTTAAACACCCGAAAGGAAAGTATAACCAAAGATTTAAGGGATCAGTATAATTCTTTAAGAATTCATGTGTATAGCTAAAGGCTACATAACAAGAAACAATGCCAGACAGGAGGTACCTTCCTTTGAGTTGCTGGCCAGGGTGGCCCAAGAGACTCCCAGACAGTAACCCAGTAAAGAACTGGGAAAATGACAGCAGACCCCAATTTTATCTAAAGTAATGTTGGCAAGTGATTGCTACTAGATGAGGAAGAGCTGATCTTCCTAAAACAAGGAACTCTAGATAGGCTGATTAGATTCAGCAGATGGACTACCACTGGGTAATGGCTGGGGGTGCTGACAACACAGTGGCCGTACGGAGTCCATGGGCTCCAGTTGGGGGGGTGGCCTATGAGAGGGTGTCATTTGGGATGCACATATAAAGATGAATAAGATTTTTGGGGATATTCTGTATGAAATACACACAAGAAAATCAATTAAAAAATACATAATGAAAATGTACTTTGATCATTTAAAGAAACAAAAACAAAACTAGTGTCTGAAACTTCGCATTCACCTTTTTAAAAGGTGAAGGAAACAAACCTTTATACCCAGAAGTGGAATTGCTAAATTTTGATTTTCTGCAAGACTTACATTGTTTTCCACAGCAGATGAAACACAGGAAATTCCTACAGGTGATTCCAAGGCATCAATTTCTCCACATCCTAGCCATTATTTTTTTCTTTTTCAAACATTTTATTTTTATGTATGAGTGTATCGCCTGCATAGGATCTCCTGGAACTGGGATTACTGTTGTTAGCAGCCATGTGGGTGCTGGGAATCAAATCCTGGTCCACTGCAAGAGCAGCCAGTGCTCTTAACCACTGAACCATTTCTCTGGTCCCCCACCCCCTAGCCATTTTTTTCATTTCCATATCTTAAACTACATGATAGCTTTTGTAATAGGAGTGAATGGAAACCCCATTTTGATATTGATTTACATCTGCCTGATTGATAAGTAGTGATGGTGAATACCATGTGCTTCTACACGATTTCTTAGAGAAATGTCTGTTCAAGCCCTTTGACTACTTTAAAATGATTTTATTAACTCACTGAGAATTTCATATATGCATGTTTTTATCATATTCACCCCCATTCCTCTCCTAACTCCTCCTAGACCCACCCCAGATCTATCCCACCCCTACTCCTACCCTCCCAACTTCTCTGCTCACTTTTTAGTTGGAATATCCATTATTTGCTTTGTTACTGAGCTGTGGAAATTCTTCATATATTTGGAAGATCAATCCTTTAATAACTTTATTAAAACCATGAAATAACTGTGTACTAATCATCACAGGGTACCCCATCAATGTATACAAACTATTCTTGGCTCACCCTAATGAAACTTAAATGGTTAGAAAGAATGGAACTTATCTGCTTGTTAAGCTAATTTCGTGCCAGGACAAAAAAAGGGATAGTTGTGCCTATTCTGTGTAAAATGACTATTGGGTATCACAATTTCCAAAATACTTCACATACTTACTTAGGTTTTGGATGGGGGGTGGAGGGCATGTTCAAGGGGACACTGAGACAAATTACTGGGGAGTAAGGAGTTTATTAGAAGAGTTATTGATGTCATGGACAGACACACAAAGAGGCAACAGCACGGTGGAGGATCTGAGGAGAGTTCAGGCCCCAGTGCCAGAGACACACAGTATGGTGGGGCTCTGAGACAGACCACATGGTAGAAGGGGAAATCTGTTCTTAAACCTTTCTGAGGATGGGGGAGTTTTCACAGCAAGAGCCTTCAGCCAAGCTCTGATTCCCAGGCAGGAGGCAGGGAAGGAGGTGGAAAGCAAGCATGTCTTTTAGCTAGGGACTCACAGAAAATGTCCCCATAGGGTACCTGTCGGTGTCAGTGAGGGCTGGAGCAGAGGCTGGATCTAACCTTACTTTCTTACACTTAACAAATCCTAGTTGTTGTAGGTTTTTTAGTTACATAAAAGAAACTGAGAATAATAGCATTTTTAATGACTACTTTTAAGAAAGTATATCCCCAGAGGTCTTTGAGATATGTTTGAATCAGGATCAAAATCATTCCTCCTCAAATTTCGTACTACCAAATATATGCATGTTGTTTCTACATGTGGGGCTACTTCACGCATGTTGGAGAGCAAACATGGGTAGATATGAGTCTGATTCATACAGAAACATGACAACATGGCATAACTGCTAATACTAATATATCTCTAGTTGGGTTTCAGGGATAGTCTCTTTTGAGATCAGGAAGGTGAGAAGAGTTTGTTCTATGGTATAAACACACACACACTCCAAGTTAACCAAACCTGAATCTTCCTTTTTTTTTTTAACAAGAGGATCTTTGATTTATTTTATTTTATGTGTATGAGTGTATTGCCTGCACGTATGTGAGTGCACCCATGTCGTGCAATGCTGCAGATCAGAAGAGGGTTTTGGATTCCCCTGGAACTGGAGTTAAGGACGGTTCGGAGCTGCCATGTGGGTGCTGGGAATCGAACCCGGGTCCTCTGCAAGAGCAGTCAGTGCTCTAAACCGTTGAGCCATCTCTCCAGCCCCGAAACCTGAATCTTTAGATAATGCTGAGAAGGAATTCTGTAGCTATAAGTAAAGTTGCTCCTCGGTCAGCTTTAATCAAACGAGAGGTTATCCTGAATGGGACCACTTGACCTAATCAGAGAAGCCTCTGAAAGAAGGCCAGAAGCTTTTCTCTGTACAGACTCCAAATAGTAGCTGAATCTGAAGCTACTCTCCCAGACTCTGTAGCTTCCTTCCCGTCTACCTACAAAGAGCAAGCCTCAGCCTGTGCCTAACAGCAACAGCCTCCTTGTGTTCTTCTGTGGGTTTCAGGAATTCATAACGGTGTAGGCTAGTTGCTCCTAATAATTATAAATCACACAACTTAACCTACCGATTCTCTTGCTAAATGCTAACTGATGCAAGTTTCGTTGTTCCTTCAGTTCTGTGGTATGGATGCATGTGTGTGCTGTTTCTCATGAATCCATTCATTAATCTGTAAATACCTGAAGCAAACTAAGATCCGTGCTCTATGCCACCCAGCATAGGAATCTATCTTGTTTTCACAAATCTTAAGACAAATCTTTGATCAAAGATGAAAGCTGTGACTAAGACGCAGCTCTGAATATTTAAGCAGGTGACCACGCTGCCCTGTGACTCAGAAACCTAAGTTCAAGTGTCTGTGCTATATTTCAAATGTGCTTTATAACTATCACTAGACACTTCTAGTGTGATTCCAATTGTTCCCATCAGGAAGGCATGAGGGCAGTAGCTGCCTTTCCTCATCCTTTCTCATTTTGTAAGATTTGGTGACGATGGGACAGATTATCTATGAAAACACACTCATTTTTGAGCCAAAAAGAAGACAATAAGAAACATTAGATAGAATGAAATTTCCTTTGGAATCTTTGGGAACAAATAGTAAAATGTTTAAATGTTATTATTTTTATTAGTACATGAACTTGATTTTCTAGTATTCAAATCAATGTAATACGAAATTAAAGGAAATAGTCAAATTTTCATAGGTAAAGTTTAATTACTGAAAAGTAATTGGATTATTAGAATTATTTCTAAGCAATGTATCATGATTTCTTAAAAAACGTTTGACAATTATTGTAGATAATTTTCAAAGATTTTTATTTTTAAAGTCAATCTGTATATATATACTTCTTAGCATGACTACACTCCAGATATTTTAATGTGCGGCTTTCAAGGAAAACAGATTAGCAAGTGCTGGAATTAAACTGAAGACACAGCTTTACTGTCTTCTTTGGTCATAACTAAAAGAAGATTTTCAGAAAGGACTAAACAAAATTCAGATGTTACATAGACTGCTGCTTCTTTGCCAAACACTTCTCAATATCCTGGAGCACTTGAATGGCAGCCTTGGGAATTCGAGTTCCAGGACCAAATACATTGGAAACACCAACTTCATATAGAAATTCATAATCCTGTTGAAAGAAATTATTTAGTTAATAAGCATACATTATTTACTATTTCAAAGAAATAACACACACAAAAAAATGAATCTTTTCTTTTCCTCTTCATCACTAATGGCCCAAACTTTCTCAACTGTTAACACTGTTGGCATGTGGTGTTAAAAAATTCTTCCTTGAATCAGGCATGGTGGTGCAAGCCTTTAACCCTCCCTCGGGAGGCAGAGGCAGGAAGATCTCTGTGAGATTAAGGCCAGCCTAGTCTATATAGTGAGTTCCAGGCCAACAGAAGCTACAGGGAGACCCTGTCTCTAAATCAATCAATCAATCAATCAATCAATCAATCAATCAATCACTCAATCAATTTTCCTTGACTGAGGCAGCTAATAATAATCAGTAGCACCATCTTCAGACCTTAAGTCAAAGAAAAAAAATAGTCGGCCACATATTTGTGATAAGAAGCTGTAAGGACCTACTAGGAACTTCTGAGCTTTAAAACATCATTTTCTCTCACCTAAATCTTCACTGTCATTATTTGTTTTAAATATGAGATGGCTTTGAGTTTAAAAGTCTATTTCCTCCTAGGTATGTGTCTGTCATGAGTGACTAGGGGTACTTTGAATATGGCCTCATGATCAATTGATTTTCTATGAATAAACACCAGTTTTGTTTTTGCTTTCCCACCCATTCCATTGCTGTATTTTGTTGGTTAACTTTAATGACAGTCAAAGTTTTGCTATGAGGATTCCCAGGGCACAAATACATCCTCAGGCTTTAGGCTGTGCTAACATCAGAACATATTCAGCTATAATATCAAATTTAGGATGTGCTTGGAGGCCTTGATCCTTATCACACAGGACAGATGGTCTAGTTTGTGTTTAACTGTTGCAACACTCTTTTCTTGCTATTCTCAAATGATCAAAATTAGCTGGTAAGTTACAAAGTATACTAATTAGCTTCCAAATACTCTTTCCTACCTTTGTAATATTCCTACAATACTAGAATTCTGCAGTGGTATTTAACACATCTTACTGAACCTGTGTCCTTGTCTAAATTTATGAAAGTAGAGATTGTGTCCAATCATCTGTGTATCCTCAAAATTTGACCTACAAAAGCACTCAAAACACGTCACTGTCTGAGGAGCAGGTACTGTACCCTTTAAGAGTGCCTAAGGAAATGGAAGCATCTGATAACAACCGTTTGCAAGTTGCAGCCTTTCCTTTTCCTAATAATGTTACGAACCACAGCATTATCCTGACCCCTGAGTTATGGATTTGGAATGCAGTATTTAGCTTGGAGAGAACTATGAAAATCTATAACTAAAAAAGGAGGTTTTGACTTGCCTATGCCTTATACATAGTTTCATAAAATGTACCTTGGTGAGTAGGTAAAATGTTAGCAATTCCTGAATACGGACAAAGGGCATACTATAACAAAGGGATGTTATTTGTACTATTTTTATTTTTGCAAGTAGGTATTAATTTGGAAGCACTTCCAAATAAATGTTATTTTATGATGTTGTCCACAGGCCAGGCCAAGAAAACCCTGCTTCACATTGTGAGCAGGCACCGTGTCCTTAGTCAGCTAGCTAAACTCACTTGAGGACAGTGATTCAGAGGGCTGGACAATCCTCGTTGAGTGAAACATGAGTGAAGATGGACCATATTTAATCAAATTGCAGAAGCTGTAAGCTGTACATTGCTAAGGACTGCAGCTGCTTGATTCAACACTGTATGTTAATATCTTCTAATTTAAAGACTAAGAGACTTTGAATTGAAAGAGAACAGCACTTCATATGGTCAACAAGCTATGGTTTGATAAGTGTCCCTCAAAGCATTAAAGGCTTGGACCCAGTGCTATGCACCAAGGGAAAAGGAGAAACTTTGAGAAGTGGAATCTAGTAGACGACTTGGGGCCCTCGGGCCTGTTTCAAAGCTGCTTCTTCTTCTTTCATGTCCCACATTATCACCAATCTCATAGCCACATACATATGTATTTTCTCATTTCTTAACAGTATATAAATTCACTACTCTATTTTCTGAGTTGTAATAGAGGAATAAAAATTGCAGAGCTAGAAACAAAAAACATACTTTGCTGCAATTTGGGCTACTGTGCTGAGGTTTTTGTGGCATTTATAAATCATTTACTGTGAACAGCCTCCTACATAGTTCTTTTTTTTTTTTTTTTTTTTCCAATCTCAGAAAGAAGGAAAAGTAGCTATTATGGGAAACCATACTGGAAATAGACCCTTTCTGTATTTTAGGTAATTATTCTACCCCAACAGTAATATAATACATAGGTGGTGTCCTCTTACCTCATTAATAGTTAACTGACATCATTGATTGCTACTTATCATCATCCATTTCTTCTTTCCTAAGGGAACTCACAGTATTGCTCAAGTATTTACCTCCTCTCCCATTCAGTCTATAGTATTTAGGACAAGAAGATTCCTTCTCTGGCATTAAGGTATTTTTAGTTCCAGAAAAACTATGTTTTAATCACAGCTTAAATAGTAAAGTAACTAAGATAGGTCTGAGGTAGGGCAACATTTAGGGATGGGCTCATGGAAGAAAGGTACAAGACAGTGCCTCTCCAACAGGTGCAATCTACCTAAAGGCCTCATTCTAATTCCAGGAAAAAGAATCCTCACTGAATCTCCGTGTAGGGTTTGACACATTCACTGTATTTACATCATTCCTCTCTGGTCTAGTTGTGAAGTTTATTACTCTTATCCCAGTCCTTCTATAACATTGTTCACCAAATAAGAATTAAGGTATAAGTTCCTGGCTTGCAAGGAGGTAGTGTACTTATAGAATCTTTGTAAATGGTTAAATCTAATCCTATATAATAAACTTAACAGAAAATAATATTGCCCATTGTGTGTAGAATTCACTTGGTGAAATCATTAAGATATAATTTGGCACTATATTGATGACACATTTATCTTTACAAATATATTATATATGCTATAAAAAATATCTATACAGAATACATAAATATAAATATACACACAAACACATGCCTATACACACACACACACACACACACACTGGTCCCACATATCATCAATCTTACGGCCTCACATATTTGTACTTTTATGTGTGTTGCAAGGTCATTTCCTCCGAATTGAAACATTCCTTCAGGGAAGGAGAGAGGAGGGTCCTGAGACTCGGAAAGTAAGCGACCTTCACTCTAGGAGAGCTGAAACTTGCAAGAACTAGGAGGGATGGAAGAGGAGGATGCGCGGCAGAGCTGCAAGGGGAGATTTCCTGGACACATCAAGCTCCCAATAAGTACTGTAGAGAACTCCGGAAATGCAGCTTTCCTGAGCCATCTCCCAGGTTGGGATGGGCTTTTTGGTGATGCCACTGCCTTTGAGTAATCTGTGAGTAATCCCTCCTGTGGGTACTCCCTCACCCACACTTTTTTCAGCAACCCCAACAAAAACTCACTGATTCACAAAGTCAGATTTTGCTAGAATCTTTAGTTTGGTCTGTGGTGGGTTCCCTACCTGGAGTGAGAGGTGTGTGTCTCATCATCCCCAGGAAAACTCTTCTAGACAACAGTGTGTGAGTGTGTGTGTGTGTGTGTGTGTGTGTGTGTGTGTGTGTAAAAATATCAAGAGGAAAGTACCTGTGGTGGTATCACTCCCCCACACATGACAAGGATATCTGGCCGTCCCAGGGCAGTAAGTTCTTTGATAAGCTCAGGAACAAGGGTTTTGTGACCAGCAGCAAGTGTGCTCACACCCACAGCATGCACATCTGCATCCACGGCCTGCTGGGCCACTTCACGGGGAGTCTAAACAAGCAGAAAGCAAAGAGACAAACCATTATCTGATATTGTGCATCACTGGTAAGAGCGGCCAAATGTGCTGCGGAGCACTGAGCTACTGGAGTCAACACCCTAGGAGTCTTACTGGAAACCAACATGACAGTCCCGACCTGCTTCCCCATTCTTACTATAGTAAGTAGCACCAGAACTGCTGCCACAAACAACAGCAACATTACTCTTGCTTCCAGCACCAGAATGTACTAATCAGGTCCACGTTAAAATAAAAAATAACTTCCCCAAGGATTCTTCAAGGTAAAGCTTTAAGGACCACAAAATATCAGTCAACTCCCAAAGAATACAATAAAATCTTGAAGTAATCTCTACTTTCCAAAGCCTAATAAAAAATTTAGTTCTGAACTGATGGTATTTTGTCATAAGTAAATGGATTGCATACACTTTAAAGATAATGAATTTGTTGAACATTTTTTATGTTTAAAAATATCATCTTGTTTATCACTTTTCTACTTTTTCTAAGTGTGACACATATTGAAACCGATCCTCCTAATTTTTCATACCTGAAAGAGAGGGCCTATGTCCACATCAAAACCAAGGTCAGCAAATCCTGTAGCAATAACTTTGGCCCCTCTGTCATGGCCATCTTGTCCCATTTTTGCCACAAGAAGACGAGGTCTCCGACCTTCACGGTCCATGAATTTATTAACTCTGGGAATATTTGAGAAGACAAGAATAGTTAAATATTAATTGTGCAGATATAGGATATAAAAACTACAGTTTATTAACAGTAATGATTTCAAGGACAACTATCTGCTTATGTGCACCCTGTTAATAACTTTAATAGTGGGAATGCCGTTAAAGCCATAAATGTGTTTGCCATCTGCTTACCACAAAGTTTAAAAGATGGCACAACCTTTAATTCAGAAACCCAAGAATATCACAATGAAACAAGACCAAAACAATAATGCTCTAACTTCTTGAGCAGAAGCAACATAAAAGGCAATATTACAATAAATTCCATGAAACCTGAGAATCAGGAGAGAATCTATAAGAACCCGTATGCCAAAGAAGTAGAAAATTTAGAGGACATGTATAAATTCCTAGACGTGCATGACCTGCCAGTTTTAAGTTAGGAGGGAATAAAGACCTTACACTGATCCACAAGGGGCAGTAAGACCAAAGCACAAAGTCTCCCAACAAAGAAAAGTTCTGGACCAGAAAGATTTACTGCTAAGTTCTACCAAACCATTAAAGAAGTTTTACCAATGCTCTTCAAACTGCTGCATGAAACAGAAAGGGAAGAAACACTACCAAACTCATTCAGTGAAGCCAGTACTACCTATAGCACAGCTCCTTATAATTGTGTATAATCAAAATGCTTGCATGTGTAAAATGACAAATTTATAATAACATAACAAAGTACTACATTAACTTTGCTAAAAGAAAAAAATGCTCCTTCTGACGAATTTTACCATGGTTCTTTTAACATTTCCATAGTATATGAGTGTCACTACAAAGGATCTAGAAGGAAGTCTATAGAAGTTGAGAACAACAATCACCCAGAAACCATTTTTCATACCCAAGAGACAGGACCACAGTAGTCTACATCCCCACGCCAGGCTGTGGCAATAGTCCCCACCGTCAGTTCTGTGAAGACCGGTTTTAATTTATGCACAGATAGCAGTCAGATGTTTATTTTTCAAATAGGAAAATTAAAAATTTGTAATTATTCAAGCAACTGAACAATGTGAACAAACTTAGAAAAATAAGAAAGTCTCTAGTAATGGGATTGCAAGTCATGTGCCTGGAGGGCGTGAAGCAACCATATCAGTTACAGAAGCAAGTGTCTGACGTGACAAAGGGGGCTGTGGTGAGAGCTGAAAATATTATCAGCTTTCCTAAAATGAATACTGGGCTTAATATTTAATTTCATCCTTATTAGTTAGTAAATACTATGTATGTGTATCATATATGTGCATGTATGTTTACATACATATACATATAAAACAGGAAACTTTATATGATGATATAATTTAATATACTCATTTATTATTATGATCAAGACACCTTTAGAGAAGCATATCACAAGGTGACTATGTAAACATTGCATGGTATACTTGAACTTAGATAGTACAGTCTACTACTTATCCAAGCTCTATGATGTGTATGTATGTGTGTGTATATATGTGTGTGTGCATGTGCTAAACAGCTTCATTTGGCAACTTGAACATACCTGAGTAGAGGGAATCTCAACTGAGATATTGCCTCCATTGGATTGCCTATGGTCATGTCTATGGGGCACTTTCTTGACTGTTAAGAGTGATGTAGGAGGGCCCAGCCCACTGTGGGTGGTGCTACCACAGGGCAGATGGTCCTGGGTTGTAGTATAAGAAAGTGGGCTGAGCACAGGCCAGGGGAACAAGCCAGTAAGCAGAGTCTCTCCATAGTCTGTGCTACAGATTCCTGCTTGAATTCCTCACTTCCCTAGGTGATAAACTGTGACCTGAGAGATATAAGATAAAATAAGCCCCTTCCTCCCCAAGTTGGTCAGTGTTTTTCTCACAGCAACAGTAAGGAGCCAGGACAGAAGTATAGCCTTTTACTCAGACAACAGTGTTGAAAAAAGTCACAAAATTAAATCAAATTCCAGAGAAGATTATGCAATTATGCTGCAGTATGTAAAAGTTGTATGAGGCCACTATTTTGCAGAAAACCTTTCTTATTGGTGGGAAGAGTATCCTCTAAAATAATAATTAAAAGAAGAGCAAGTTGCTAACAAATTATTAGCATCTGATTACTGCTGGGTGAGGGAGACCTGATCTTCTTTAAGGGAGAGACTCTAGATAGGCTGATGAGGCTCCAGTGGATGAGCTTGCACTAAGGGACATCTGTGTACATTAACTTGATAGGCCTTAATATAAGTGAAAGAGTGCATGAAATCCGGTGGGAGGGGGCGCTATGGGAGGATGCTGATTGGGGAAGGAGTATAAAGATGATTACGCTGCTTTGTACAAAATATACAGAAATTCAATAAAAAGATATACAAAAAAAAACAGTAAACTATCAAGAGAGCCGTCTGTGTGGATGAAGTATTACACACTGCACACAAGAGGTGCCGTCATTCTCTCTCATAGCCCCAGCACAGACATGTGTGAGGAGCCCTGTCACTATAACTACAGCTACAGATTCATCACTAGGAGACAGGAATTGGGTGGCACCATTATAACCCTAAGAGATCACCACTGTGCATTCAATCCAGTGTTAGCCAAAACATCAATGTTTCACATATTGTGTATTTGTACACATGACTATATATTAATAATTACAGTTACATATCATAAATTATGTAATAAATTTTATGAAACATTACTATATTATTAACTGTACAATATAAATATTTAATACTTACTAGTTTTATACAATAAGAGACTAATAGAAAAGTCAATTCAATATTTTCCCAATAGGGAGAAAACGGAGGCTTCAGTAGATCCAAGGGGATTGTGGGAACAGAAAGATCAAATTGTAGCTTCATAAATCTCATAGTACCTCTCGATAGCAGAAGTTATCTCTTGACTTTCTCCAAATTCCTGGCGATACGCTCCACTCACCATGCGATCGTTAGCTTTGTGTTCACCAAATACCTTCTTCATGGCATCTGTGATTTCTCCAACTGTACATCTACAGTATTAAATGGGGGCTCCAGCACATCATAAGTTTATAAGAAATACATGTCTACCTCAACAATCAATCAGGCATATTTTACTAATAAGTAAAAACAGGCTGTCAAAAACTTAATGTTAATGTTATGAAACTTCTTTCTTGTGAATACTTAGGTAAAAGTTATTCTTAATGTCTTTATGAACTATAATCTCTTGATAACATCTTGTCAACCAAAATAATAACAAAATGACCTTAAAATTACAGGGAGGTAAGTGCCTAAAGGCAATGTAACAATTTCCCATTTATCAACACAAACTGGAGGAGTAGAAGTACCACTGGCATGATTGATGAGAAGTAAATCTTTCAGCATGTTTATCAAAGAGTGGTGAATTCTGGAAGACCAGGTAGATCACAGGGGAAAACCACCTAGAGAGGCCCAGACACCCACAGAGTAAAAGACAGGTGAGCACTATACGAAGGCCTTTCTCCATTCCCCCCTCTTGCTTCTCACCCTCCCTCTGTTTTCATCTTACAATACAGCATTAGCGCCGAAAGGGAAAGGACTGAGATGGGGGTCCTGGTTATTCTTCTGGTTGCTTCATTATTAATATAATCCAAAAGCAATGGCATGACAATAATTTTTCCTTAATAATTATCAGATAAATGTTTCCCTCCCCATCAAAGGCTATCTGCGTCTAAACACATAAACCAATGATACACTCGAGAGTACATCAAATCTCAACCTGCAAATCAATGAAATTGATTCACTGTAATAGTTACAAATGTTCTGACCTAGTGACTTACACAAGCATTACTATCCCTCATAATATTTTAATGTTTTACATGTACAGCTATTTGAGTAAAACTAGAATAAAGTTTATAATTGTTTCCATTATCTTGCTTTGGTTTCACAGAATTTACAGGCGCAATCTTGTATTTGAATACACTCTAAAAAGCTAAATTAATCAAACTTTGAGTAGCTGGAAATCTCCAAACTTCCACATGTTCACCTTGCACGAGCTGCATCCACTGCAAGAGCCAAAATATTGCCATCGTTGCTGGCAGCGCACTGGGTGAGTGCAGCGAGAGACTGCTCCGCCAAAGCTTGATCCCTGCTGGATTTGATCTTAGAAAGAACAGAAGGGAGAATGTAATGAAAGTGGACTGAAATAGATAGCAAGAGATCAAACCCTGGTACATGCTTATGTTGAACATGTTCCATAATCGTAACCTCAAAATAAGAGGAAAAAAACAAAAAGAATATTATATAACCCAAGAAGTACATGTGTTCATGTAGTCTGTAAAAAAATAAAAATCCTAATTTGGTACAAAGCCAACAAATCAGAAGCACACAGGTGATGACTTCCAAGTAGCTCCTTGGGACTTGGGATTTTCTCAAACAGCCAGGCAATGAAAGCAAGTGGTCTTTTACAGAGCATTCTCAAGGGACACGAAGGATGAACAGCAAGAAGACAACACATCAGAGCTGAGAGGAGACTTATTATATATGACCTTCCCTTAGATGATTAACAACATATTGGCAATAATCACTTGTCTGTATATTGCCATTCCTTATATTTAAAATTCTAAGAGGAGACAAAAACAAAGAGTGGGAATGAGACAGAAAATAAACAAAAAGCATGGATAAAACTATTTTCCCCTAGTCCTAATTCTACTCTGCTCTGTCAACAACTTGTGTGATCAAAGTTACTCAAAACCCAACTTTCTACAGATGTAAAATTTACTTTGGTGACAAGTGCACTGACACACTGCACACAGAGAGACATGTAGGAAAATAAACTTCTTGCTCTGAGGGTTATGGTCAAAGGGTTGGAAAGACCTCAAAATGTAATAAAGAGAGTAGACACAGGGATTGAATCACACTTGGGTTCAACTCCCACCTGACACTATGTGATGGGACATAAGAACATTATTGACATCTTGTCATACCAGCCTTTTGTCAGACTGACCTGATGAAAGGAATATGGCTCTTAACAGAATTCTATGAGAAAAATGTGTGCTAAAGCAATTTGCTGGCATGGCCTCGGTACTCAATAAATATTAATTTTGAGAAAATTGCAGTGAAAATAAGAATCTACCCTCATAGGAAACAAGAACTTCTGCAAGAATGATTGACATCGATAGCCTGAAACACACGGCTCAACATTCCAACTTTAAAATGGATTTTCAACAAGTATGATTATCACATACGATTATGTGTGGAATTCTAAGCTACTCAATTCAAACAATAATTAGCATTAACAAAATTTTCTAATTACAATTGTTATGTATTAATCAGCAATTAATGGCAACATTACTGTCATCATGGCAATTAATTATAGCTATAAACAAAACAAAAACAATGTCCATGTCCTCATGGCATTCTATTTATTCCTGGATTTGAAGACAAAACAATAAGCAAATAACAAATAATATCTAAGGTAACAGAAAAATACAGCAGTTTAAAGTGACTGGCACAGTGGAGTCAGGGATTTACATAGGGATTACTGTAAGCTTCCTAGATAAAGCCACATTTGAGTCAAGGCCTGGAAAGCACACCTTTCTAGGTTCACTAGAACTCTCAAGTTCCTGAGATTAAGTAGTTATCTAGAATTATTTAGACAATAGATTATTAGAATACTATAGTAAATATTATATGCTGAAATCAACAGGGACTGGGAATTGAAGAAAAAAATTCTGTTGAGGGGCCGGAGAGATGGCTCAATGGTTAACAGCACTGGCTGCTCTTGCAGACAGATGACCTGGGTTTGATTCCCAGCACCCACACAGAGGCTAACATCAGTCCATAACTTCAGTTCCAGGGAATCCGATGCCCTTTTCTGACCTCCATGGGCACTGCATGACACTGGTGCACTTACATACATGCAGGCAATACACTCACACATAAAAATAATAAAGGGAATTTTAAAAATTCTGTTGATGTGGTTCAGTCAGAAGAAAAAGTAAACATTAACATGCAGAGTGAACTGTTATAATCACTTCTGAAAGGGATATATGGGAAAATCTAAACCTTAATCCAGTACTAGAAAGAGCTCAAGGAAATATACTTTGGCACTAAAAAATTTCTTGATTTTCAAATTAATTTTTATAGTGGAAGAAATCTGATTTGGTCATGGTCCTGAGAAGTCATATTAGGTTTAAAATTTTTAAGAAGCTACATCAGAACCTCCATTCCTCCTGAACATCACTAGAGTCAGGAAGTCTGCATTTAAAGCCCAATTTTCCCACTTATGGTTTTACTTTTAGCTACTAAAAGGAATAAAAATAGAAGAATAAAAATAGTAGCTACCTGTTAAAATAAGAAAACAAAATAGCATGTAAGAAAAACACTCAATGAACTGTGCGTCATTATTGACCTATCCTGCCTCAAATAAGGCTTATTACAGTCTATGGTAAACAGACCCCTCCAAGCTAGGATGGTATACAGTTAATAAGCCACTAAACTCTAAGAGAAAAGAAAAAGAGTTTCCAAATATAATAAGCACTGAGACTTTCATGATCACTGAAGAGAAGACTTATTTAATACAGCCTTTGGAAAGTGATAAAATGTAATAACTGATTTGATTAAGGATGAAAGCAGAAATGTGAAGCTGACAGTAAAGCATTCTAACTTGAAAAGGTCTATTAGATTTAAAAATACATATTTTTTAAATTTTATGTGTGTGAATGTATTGCCTGCATGTATGTAAGTACACTAGGGCCATGCAATGCCCATGGAGGTCCAAAAACAGCGTGGGATCCTCTGGAACTGGAGTTACAGACAGTTGTTAGCTACCATGTGGGTGCTGGGAATCAAACCCAGGTCCACTATGAGAACAGCCATTGTTCTTAACTGCTGAGCCATCTCTCCAGCCCCCACCAAAATTATATTCGATTTTTATAGACCATTTGTACTATGAGGAAAGTGTCATGTTTTAATCAAAGAAAGTAAACAGAAAAAAAAATAAAGCTATATTCAAGACAGAATATCTTCAGACAATAGAGTATATAGGTTACAACAGTAAAAATTAATGTTTCATATTCCATCTAATTGCATCACTTCAGTAAGAACTTGCAGAAGTAAACAGTACTCATCAAAATAAACAGACAGCATAGTAGGCATCTCTGGGAAGCCCAGCCCAACAGCTACCTGGAGCCAGCAGCTTTCCTGGGTAAGTTTGGCTGCATCCACTGTGCCTTGACTCCCCCAGCCTCATTCACCCTCCCAGCTCCCCGAGCCCATCTCTCCTCCTTGCAGAGGGACGGGCACATTTCTCGTCTTGGTACCCCAATCATCTGGACTAACCTCTTGGCCCAAACTCCCTACTGCTTCCTGAGCATTTGCATCCAGACCAACCCAATTTCTCCCTCCAATGCCCAGGAATCCTCATGTCTTCCTGTCCCCACCTCCCTTTGCATCTCTGGGAAGCCCAGCCTCACAGCTTCCTGGAACCAGAAGCTTTCCTAGGTAAGTTTGGCAGAACCCACTGTGCCTTGACTCCACAACCTCATTCACCTTCCCAGCTCCCCCAACCCATCTCTCCTCCTAGCCTGGGTACTGGCTCATTTCTTGTCTTGGCTCCCCAGACCCCTGAATGAACTTCTTAGGCCAGAATCCCCATTGCTTCCTGATCCTCTGCATCCAGACCAACCCTATTCATCCCTGTAGGCCCCAGGATTCCCCAGGGTCTCTTCCTGCCCCCACCTCCATTTGCATCCCTGGGGGGCACAGCCACCAGCTTCCTGGGGCCAGCATCTTTCCTGGGCCCTGCTCCCAGGCCAGCTAGGCCTCAAATTCCTGAGGCCAGCATCTTTCCTGGGAAGATCCAGACCTTAAAAGAAAGGCTGAGAGCATCTGATCCTCATCCAACTTGGGCCTCTGTGGGAACTCCTGAGCAGAAAGACGAAAGCAATTTGGCCACTTCAATATAAAATCAAAGGAGAGAACCTGAAGCCTAGACCAATCAGCTTTTCATGCCCAACAAGTAAATCACAAAGGCACATAGGTTTACAAAAAGAAGCAGACCCAAACTCAAAAAAGGAAGGCTTGAGTCTCACACAAGAACCAGAAACTACAAAAGAAATCTACATGTCAAAGTCACAGAGAAAAAAATGATAGCATGAAAAACCAAAATAATATATCTGCACCAAGTACCAATAGTCCTCTAGAGGAGTACAGTGGGAACCCCCTAGAGATAACACAGGACATGGAACTCAAAAGAACAATTATAAACATGATAAAAGAATTCCATGAGTTTAAGGAACACACAGAGAAATCAAAGAACTGAAAGAAGATAGGGATAAATTTCTGAATGAATTCAGAAAAAGAGTTAGAAATATTGAAGACTACTCAGGCTGAAATGAAGAAGGGAGTGAAACACTCAGCAAGCCAATTAGAAACGACAGGAGAAAGCCTCACCAATAGGATGAATGAAATGGAAACAGAGTATCAAGACTGGGAGATAAAGTGGACGAATAAGATCATTCAAGCAAAGATTATGAAAAATGTAAGAAAACACAAGAATGGAATATGCAAGAATTGTGCAACACCATAAAAAGACCAAACTTACGACTCATGGGCACACAGGCAGGAGAAGAAACTCAGGGTAATGGTATGGACCAGATCTTCAACAGGATTGTTAAAGAAAATTTCATAAAATTAAAGAAAGACATGCCCACACAAATACAAGAAGCATATAGAACACCAAACAGACAGGACCAGAAAAGAAACCCTCCATGGCACATCATAGTAAAAACACTAAACGTATAAAACAAAGAGACAATTCTGAAAGCTGCAAAAGAAAAACAACAAGTCACCTATAAAGGAAAACTGAATAGAATTACAGCTGACTTTTCAGTGCAAACTATGAAAGCCAGAAGAGCCTGGGCCAAGTATTCCCAGCTCTAAATGACCTCGGATGCCAACCCAGATTACTTTACCCAGCCAAAATGTCTATTATAGTCGAAGGGGAAAGAAAAATCTTCCATGACATAAATAGGCTGAAAGAATTCATGTCCACAAAACCAGCCCTTCAGAGAGTTCTTGAAGCGATACAAAGAGGTGAAGAAAGGAACAACTATACACAAGGGACTACAGAAAGAAACTTAATGAAGGTATAACTATAG